TGAGCTGCTTTCTCAGTAGAGAGGGATGACTGTTGGTGATTTAAACGGAGGGTTGAGAAGGAGGGTCCTTCATGGTAATCTCAGGTGGTTTGGGAACAGCATGGACATTATGAAGCAGAAACTCATAAGTAGTACAAATCTGTATGCAATCTTTGACATGATTGTCCACACCTTTCCCCTGCAACAGCTCTCCACTATTATCCGGCTGGATGGGCCTGGAAACTCCTGATTCCATTCTAAATGTATCTCCTTTCATAAGCAGAGAGTCAGCTGCATGGTCTTTCCACTCGTACGCCATTAACTTGGGGTCTATTTTAAAGTGGTCCACAAAGGAAAGAAGAGTGAAGTGAGAAAAAGCTATTTTCACTCAGCAAGTAGTTGGGGTCTGGAATGCACGGCCTGCATGTGTGGTGCAGGCAAATTCAAATGAGGCATTCAAGAAGGCATCAGATGATTAGTTCAATAAAAATACTGTGCAACAGTGTGGGGAAAAGCAGAAGACCAGCACTGGATAATGATGTCCATTTACTGGGCTGATACAAGCACAATGGGCCAAATGGGCTCCTTTGGCACCGTAACCCTATGATTTTCAGCCCCTTCCTATTTCTCATCCACATTCTATCCCTTGCACATCAACTGATAATGCATGAAAGTACCTCTTCCCTCTCCACCTGCCAATCCCACCATCATTACCCAAAACCCTTCATATGCTTATCTTCAGAAAGCATAGTCTAATTCTTTCTTTCAAGTTCAAGTTATTGGTTAACCTGTTGCAGAAATGGTTCAGGATACTGTTAACCTCAGAAGTTCCTCAGCTGGAGAAGTCAAATCAAAGAAATGAGACCGAGCCCTCATTGCTTCCTAACCTCTCCACTCAGAGCAGTTCACAGCAGGTTATCAGGTCATGTAGAGATGCAGGCACAGCCACGAGAGTCAACATATGAATAACGTGCAATGTTGCAGTGATACAAGACAGTTGATCATTCCAGTTAGGGAACAGTAGGTTCCCAGTGACTTCACAACTGCACCCAATACTGTCACTATTTGGAAGTGAATCAATCATTCCACAGAGCTTGCAAACAATTTATTCTTTAAAATATTATTAAGTGTAAGCATTAAAAGTTGAAATTGCATTAAATTGAATGAAATTTCCAACTTACTGTGGTTGTAATGCGATCATATTGCTGTGTAGTGTACATGTGGATTAGCATAATTGGAAGCTATGATTAACGGAACCCTCAATTATCATACCACAAGGACATTTCAATCCTCAGACGGAAGATCGAAATGGGAGTTCGTAAGGAGAAATATGGCTGACATCAAGTGTGAAGTGTCAGGATATGATTTCCTAAGTTCAAACTTACTGTCAATGGAACATGAAGTTTATTTTTTTTAGATTTCAGTTCCCAAGAAGAGTTATATCAAATTCAGAATGTTAACTTTGTTTCTATCTCAACAGACGTTACCAAGATTTGCCAAATTTCTCCTGCATTTTCTGTTTTTTACTTGTGGGCACAGCTATTTTTTTTAACCAAGAAAAGAAGCAAGGTATGCCTTTTCACTGAGCTTCCAACTAGAAGCAAGAGTAATCAAGTGTAAAGTATTCCTAGAGCTAGAGGCGCAACAACTGAACACTGAGGCAAGTTTGAACAATGGAATTGACAGCAAAAATAAATTACATAGCCCGTCCAAGCTGCTTCAGCACTCAATAAAAACATGTCTGATCTTTTTGTGTTTTGAATTCCACATTTCTATCTAATCTCCAATAACCTTTGATTTTCTTGCCTAACTGGAATCTATCTACCTTGGCCCTACCTCCACTGTCTTGAGGCAGAGAGATCCAAAATTTACCACTCTCAAAGAAAAAAAATTTTCATCTGTCCTCAAATTTTTAAACACAATTGCCTAGCTCTGACTTTGTTCTCAACAGCAAACATCCTTTCGATGCCCACCTTGTCAAAACTGTGCAGGATCTCATATATTTAAATCAAATCACACTTCACTCTTTAAACTCCCTCCCCATAAGACAACCAGCTCATTCCAGGTAAAAATGCAGTAAACCTCCTCTGGACCACCTCTAATGCATTTACATCCTCTCTTAAATGAGATCAAAACTGCACACAGTATTTGAAATGTGGCCTCACCACTATAAGCGAAGCATAATATCATCTCACAATAAAGGATACTGTTCATTTTGCCCTCTTAATTAATTGCTGTGTCTGCATATTAACTTTGTGTGACTTATGCAACAGAACATCTAGATCTCTGCACCTTGAAATTCTGCAAAACAATATACTGCTTTGTTATTTTTCTTGTCAAAGTGAACAATTCACAATTTCCTACAGAATACTTCATCTGAAAGATTTCTGTCCACTCATGCAATCTACCTACATCAGACAGTAACTACCCTAGTTCCTCTTCATAATGTACTTGCCTACTTTGTCTCATCTAAATTTAGCTATCGTGTAAATTTAGTTACCATGCCTTTGCTCCCCTCATCTGCTTTCCTTGTCCTTCTGAATGATGCTGATTGTGGGTTTGGAAGGTGCTGCCTCAGGATCTTTGATAAATTTCTGCAGTACATCTTGTAGATGGTATACACTGTTGTCACTGACTGTCAGTGGCAGAGGGACTGGATGTGGTGCTAATCAAGCAAACTGCATTATCCTGGATGGTGTCAAGCTTCTTGAGTATTATTTGAGCTTCACTCATCCATGCATGCGGGGAGTATTACATCAGATTCCTGACTTGTGACTTATAGATGGTGACAGAATTGAGGGAGTCACGAGGTGAATCATTTGTTGTAGTATTCCTAGCCCCTGACCTGCTCTTGCAGTCACTGCATTTATATTGCTTTTTTTCCATATTTTTTTCAAATCTCATGTGGATAGTCCTATTTTCTATATTACTATGCACAATGATTTTCTGTGGAAAGATTCCATGGCATTTGAATTGTGTGTGACAGATAAAAATAAAAACAAATTTAGTATTGGAAGTCAGGTTTCTGGGGCCCTTCAATATGCAGAGTTACATATTAAGAAGAATAAGTCAGATGTGATTTTGGATAAACAGCTTTATTCATAAACTTTTAACAGCATTTATCAGCCTGAGTATAGCTTGAGTGCACAGTCAGATTAACTATACAATTAAACTTCTTATCTGGTCTGTTTCTTCCTTGGATGCAAAATCTTCTTCCTGAGAGGATCAGGCTGATAAATGCTATTAAAAGTTTATGAATAAAGCTGTTTATCCAAAATCACATCTGACTTATTCTTCTTAATATGTAACTCTGCATACTGAAAGGCCCCAGAAATCTGACTTCCAATACTAAAGTTGTTTTTATTTTATCTGTCACACACAATTCAAATGCCATGGAATCTTCCCACAGAAAATCATTGTGCATAGTAATACAGAAAATCAAGAACATCGCGCAGAAGAGATTAAGTATTGACCTTGCTAGTAGGTTGAAAATGTTAGAAAGAAAAGGGACTTCCAAAAAAACAAGGTGTCAGTTGTCAGATGTTTGCTCCAAAATATTATGGGAGATCCTCAAAGCAGGAAGACTACTAGTAATAGGAGTTCAAAGGTATGAAAAAATTAATATATAATCAAAATATCAGCATTTTCTTAGGTTGCTTTGTAACTAAACCAGCTATAATTTCTTTGTTAAAAGGAAGGAAGGGGAAATATGGAATGTTGATTTTTATTGCATTGAAAATGAAAAACTAATGTTGTTACTGACTGGTTGCATCAGACAGGTAAGATGTAGAAAAATGGAAATATTTTATAAATATTCATTTGTTTTGTTGTAGAATTGATTGTATTTCCACCAGAGGTTGTATTTAAAGAGAAGAATGTATTAATATAGCAAGTGGTAACGCGAGTGATTGTGCTTAATTATGATAATAAGCTCAGGGGGTTCTTGTGGTGCAATGGCAATGGCAATGTCACTGGACTAGTAATCCTAACAAACCAGATTAAAGTTGAGACTGAGTAAGGAGAATCTTGTGACACAGTGACAGTACCCCTACCTCTGAACCAAGAGACCCACTTCAAGTCTCACCTGTTCCAGGGATGTGTCATAACATCCCTGGACAGGATGATTTAAAAAAATGTCTAAGACTGAATGGTTGATAAATTCTCTCCATAAGGAAATGTAGCTTGGTTTCTGTATCTCTGATTGGACTTGGATCCAGATTGACAATAACAACCTAGTCTCCGTGTAGGACAAGATACTTCCTACCCTGAAAATTTTGCCATGCACAAAAACATCTATAATGTGCAGTATGAGGATACAACACATAATGAAGCTCCATTAAGGAGAGAAATAAAAGACAATGAAGGGAACTGTACAGCTGTATAACACACAAAACTCCCAACTGTGCCTGGAATATATACTTTCAAAGATGAACTTGGAGAATAAAATTGTAGAAGGTCATCATGTAAACCAGCAATGCTGCAGCTCTCTTAAAAAAAAGTACACAAGATACCAAAACACTTACAAGAAAGCCCAAGAGATAAGTCGAAATCTCAGAAATGTCATACTATTATGTTGACATTTAGACTCTTTGCTTCCTAAGCTCTTAAATAAAGACTTATCTTTGGTGAAAATTGCTTGTGTAAATTGTCCGTGTGCATGCATTTTTACTCAACATGCAATATTATCTAGCAGAAAAGGGATTTTCTAATATAATTTTAACAGTGAACATGCTAATAATTAAATAAGCAGGATGTAGAGCATGTGACCATCAGCCATTGCAAAGTCTAGTTGGCAGCTTATACTGCAGAGTAGCTGGGGCTGTGCTTTCCTGTAACTCTGTATGCTGAATCTTTATGATGGATCCATCTTCTGTAATATATCTTCAATTATAGAGAACCTATGATTTGTTTACCACTACTGGTGTAAGATTAAAAGAATTATATCATCATATTTAACACGAAAAGCACCATGTAATTGTATGACAAATTTATTGAAAAAGCTCAGATACAAAGAAACCTACTTGTAATTGTCATCTTCGACAAATTTCTGAAGTTCTTCAATGTATCTCACCGAGTTCAAATACTTCTGAACATGAGGCAGCAGGGGAATATCTAAAGAAAATAAATGCACCTGTAAAAACTGGAAGTTTGAACCGTTTTGTTGCACAGAATAAAACTGTTTGTGGTATAACTTGAAAGAAGTGGAACAGCGTAGTAATTTGAGACAACAAGGTGCAGGGCTGGATGAACACAGCAGGCCAAGCAGCATCATAGGAGCAGAGAGGCTGACGTTTCGGGCCTAGACCCTTCAT